CCCGACCCAGCCAGGTCAGACCAGGCGCGCCGCCTGCACGAAATCGTGGTGAGTACCATGGTACATCGCCAGTGCGGCGCCGCCAACCCGACGGCCGCCTGCATGGACGGCGGTCGCTGCTCCAAGGGCTTCCCCAAGCCGTTCGCCAACGAGACAGAGTGGCGGGATGACCATCCGTACCCTGTCTACAGGCGGCGACCGGCGGCCGAGGGCGGCCAGGAGTTTGTGCGTGACGGACGGCTCATCACCAACCAGTGGGTGGTACCCTACTGTCCATACCTGTCCCTAAAATATGAGGCACACGTGAACGTGGAGGTGTGCTGTTCGGTGCAGAGTGTGAAGTATCTTTTCAGGTACATCTACAAGGGCCCGGACCGCCAGATGGTGCGCGCTGACAACCTGATCGGCGGCGATGACGAGATCGCCGAGTACCAGGACATGCGCTCGATCGGCGCCAGTGAGGCCTGCTGGCGTCTGTTCGACGTGCCGATGAGCCAGCGGCAGCCGAACGTGGTCGCCCTACAGGTGCACCTCGAGGACCACCAGCTGGTGTACTTCGAGCCGGGACAGGAGCGGCAGGCGGCTCAGGCCGCCCGACGCACCCACCTCACCGCCTGGCTGGAGTATAACCGGGAGTCGGCCGCCGCCGACCCGGACTGCCGCCGACTGCTCTACCCGGACTTCCCGTCCCGGTACACCTGGCAGGCCGGCCAGAAGGTGTGGCGCAAACGGCGCCAACAGCAGGCGGCAGAGGCCATCGGCCGCGTGGTGAGCCTCTCACCGCGTCACGGCGACGTGTTCTACCTCCGCGTGCTGCTGCACCACGTCGCGGGGGCGGCGTCCTTTGAGGAGCTACGCACCGTGGACGGCATGGTCTGTGCCACCTATCGTGAGGCGTGCTGCCTGCGCGGACTTCTGCAGGACGACCGCGAGTGGGAGGTGACGATGGAGGACGCGGCGCACGCACAGATGCCGGCTCAAATCCGGCGCCTCTTCGTGACGCTGCTGCTCTTCTGTGCACCAGCCGATCCGTCAGAGCTGTTCCGGCGTCACCTGGACGCCATGTCTGATGACTTCGGCCGTCGTCATCGCGACCTGCCGGACGAGCTGCGCGCTGCTCTGACACTGGTGGACCTGGAGCGGCAGCTACAGCAGGCCGGCAAAGAGCTCCGAGACTTCGGTCTGCCGGAGGTGACGCCCGATCAGCGGGCGCGGGCGGCTGAGCTGCAGCAGGCCGCCGAGCTGCGCCAGCTGCCGCGGCTCATTCAGGAGGAGCTGGAGTATGACGCAGCAGCGCTCAGAGATCAGGTGGCCATCCAGCTACCCACCCTGCTACCGCCGCAGCGCCACGTCTTCGACCTGGTGATGACGGCCGTCGACGGGCGGCGTCCGCTGGCCGTGTTTGTGGACGCCGCTGGCGGCACCGGAAAGACGTACGTCTTCAACACGCTGCTGGCGGCGGTGCGCTCGCAGGGTATGGTAGCGCTCGCCGTGGCCTTCAGTGGAATCGCTGCCACTCTGCTGGACGGCGGGCGCACATACCACTCGCGTTTTAAGGCACCGCTGCAGGTGGACGCGACATCAACGTGCGCCATCAGCGCGCAGAGCCCGCTGGCGGAGCTCATCCGACGGACGGCGCTCATCGTGTGGGACGAGGCCCCCATGGCCCACCGTCACCACCTGGAGGCGTTCGACCGCACGCTGCGTGACGTCACTGGCAGCGAGGAGCCGTTCGGCGGAAAAGTCCTCGTGCTGGGCGGGGATTTCCGCCAAATTCTCCCAGTCATCAGGTAACTAACAACAACAGGCGTTCAGTGTGTATGAGAAAAAAGTATATACAAAAATAGCTGTGGTACGTTTGTTGTTATAAATGTGCAATTGAATACGACTGATATAATGCTCTTCGGCGCAATCACATTATTGCAGTTTAACATGTGAATTAAGTCGTAGCCACGAACATTCAACCGCTATGCCTTCAAAACGTATTCACTGATTTATATCGATGCCAGCGTCGTAAACTCACTGCCGCAGCGGATTGATCGTAGACCGCATGCTTTGTGGTTTCTATAGCTTCGCCCTGGTGGGAGGGGCTTTTTGACCACACTCGCCAGTTTACACTCACACTCTTCCACACAGTGAGCCCAGTAAAGAAAGCTGGGCTAAATTTGTTATGGCCGAAAATAAATCCATTGTGCATCGTGTGAGATATTTCTTACATCTGGTCACATAAGGTCAACGGATCTCCAGATTAAGATTAAAACGGGTCATTCAGCAGTTTTTTGCGATAACTTTAGGTAAATATGCTAGAGCGATGCAAACACGTTAGTTAGATGGATTCAGCTAAACGATACAAATCGACAGTTATGACACGTGACCTTTACCGGTAGGGTCACGACCTCGACCCTAGGTCAGATTTTGTAGTCGGTCTTTTGAGGTGAGATTATACTTCATTCGACGCGTCTCAACGAGCGTTATGCGTCGCTGATAAAATCGACAATACAATCTTGATGAAAAAGGTTCGCAGAAAAACGTTTCCCGAAAAATGTTAACGCTTTAGTTTTTCCCCTGTGGCTTAGGCCCCCACCAGGGCGCCGGCTAAACAGCCATTTCTGAGCATAAGTGGCCGTATCGGCGCGTTTTTACATGCATATTTTTGTCCGTTTCAGGCACGGTACCCGCGCACAGGTGGTGGACGCCTGTCTGCGGCGGTCAGCGCTGTGGCGTCACTTCATTGTGGCGCCGCTGCTGGAGAACATGCGGGCGCGGCGGGCAGCCGGGCCGGACGGTCCAGAGCTGCGGGCGTTCTGTGACTGGCTGCTCGAGCTGGGAGAGGGGCGCGCAGAGGGCCCCGAGGATGGGTTTGTTCAGCTGCCCCCGCACCTGGTGATGGACGCCGATATCGACGCTGTCATTGACTGGGTGTTTGATGACCTGGCAGGGCGACACGGTGACCGGGAGTGGATGGCGTCGCGGGCGGTGCTCGCGCCGCGAAACACTCGGGTCGACGAGCTGAACGCCGCAGTCACCGAGCGCTTCCCCGGAGAGGCCGTCCGCCTGCTGAGCGCCGACAGTCTGGTGGAGGAGGCCGAGCAGCTGGATATTCCACATGAGTATCTAAACACTCTGTGCGCTCCCGGCTTCCCACCTCACTGCTTGATGATAAAGCCAGGCATGCCACTCATGCTACTTCGTAATCTGTCCGCCACTGACGGACTGTGCAATGGCACGCGACTTATCGCTGGTCGTATCATCAGCCCGCGACTCATGGAGGCCACTATCGCCTGCGGCAAAAACGCCGGAAGGCAAGTGCTTATTCCACGGCTCCCACTCCAGCCCCCGGATGACGCGTTTCCCTTCCGCTGGGAGCGTCGCCAGTTCCCCGTGCGGCCAGGTTTCGCCATGACGGTGAACAAAGCCCAGGGGCAGACGCTCGGTCGGGTCGCGGTCTTCCTGGAGGAGCCAGTGTTCAGCCACGGGCAGCTGTACGTGGCTGCATCGCGGGTCGGCCGGCCGGCGGATCTGAGGATCGCGCTGCCCAGAGGTGGCCAGGGCGCAACACCCAATGTGGTGTACACGGAGGTGATGGGCCGAGGTGATGGCCGGTAGATCAACGGGTCGCAGAGGCGACGGGTAGCCAGAGCGCTACGAGCAACGTGGAAAGGAGGAGCGAGGAGCAACGAGGAGAAAACGGCCGGCCGACCGTGATGCAGGACGGATAAATCCTGGCGAGCCAATGCGCCGTCAAGTGGAAAATTTACACATTAACATAATCCCGCAACTGGCTTTGGTGACCTCCAATGCGCGAGCGCAACTTATATTTTGAGGATAAATCAATGCATTGAGTGGCATGTTTTAAAACATATTTGATATGGTCTGATGATATGTTTGATATCTGATGATATATTTCGATATTTGACAGCACATCTAACAATGGGCGTTTGCCCCCAGCTATACAATCGGCTGCGAGTAGCACACACCGAGTACTTCTCGGGGGGCCTTATTGCCGCTGCCCACGGCCGCCGTGTCTTCCCTCACCAGAGGTGTGCGCTCTGCACCCGGTGAGGGGTCTCGGGCGTTAAATTATTTATAATTTATACAGACACCACGTTCCAATGCAGGTGGTGGTGTGGTTTCTCTAGATGTAACTACTATGTGGGGCATGGCCCCACAATAGGATGACGTCCCATCGGGAAATGCAGTGTCCCAGATGGTGTAACGTGACGTCTCACCTGGAGATAAATGTAGCCCCGTATCTGGACACGGGACGTCAATGCAACATGTCAAATGTCAGTTCCAGAGTCGTGATGTCGTGCACGCATATTGCATATTGCATGTGTAAGTGCCGCATAAATACGCGATGCCCTGCATAATTGGGGAGGCGTATAGTTTCATTGGCTTACACCGGTTGGCGCCTCATCGTCCATGGTATTCTCTTATTTAGAAATGTGAAGTCATTTTTGCAGACAGAGTAATATCAAGTCAGGGAGAGCTCGATTTGATATAGAGTCCGTTGTGAAGACAAGCTTCAAAATTGAATAGATTCGCATGGTAGTATCCTTATGGATACAACGTCCCGTCTTAAGTCGTGACGTCATCGGCTGACGTCAGCTGTGTGCAGTCCTCGGAGTCTCGGCATCCCTGAGGCGTCGGGAGCTCTCATATGGAGACGTGACAATAAATCTGGCGCCGGCAGATGGCACGTGTCAACTCAGGAGACGGGATTATCCCATTTGCTCATTTCCTACCCGGTCTGGGCCGTATCAGTATCAGGGGCGGCAGTAGAAGCAGCGGGCTGCGGCAGGAGTGGGGTTAGGCAGAGATCCCAGGAGCGACTGAGCCGTGAGGAACAATGTGCAGCGAACTCGAGGGTTACAAACCTGGACGGACCACGTGCTAACAAACCTTATTTTCCGACCGGCTACAAACTATAAAATAGCAGCGCACGGTTCCACAGTGCAAATTGAAGTGCGCGGGACCTGCGATGACGGTTCGTCACTCACCGATGAAGGAGACGTTCCGGATGTGTTCCAGCAGCTCTCGGCCGGTGGGCACCGGCTGCACGGCGTTACAGAGCCGCACTGATCCGCAGCGAGCCAGCAGCATGTTATGGAGCGCGTGAGCCAGCGCGTACACGGCATCCACTGAGGGACAGGGGAGGGTCAGAGCGGGCAGGGGCAGGGGCGGGTCAGAGCGGGCAGGGGCGGGTTAGGGGGAGGGCGGGTCAGAGCGGGCAGGGGCGGGTCAGGGGGATGGGGCGGGTCAGGGGGATGGGGCGGGTCACGGAGGGACGGGTTAGATGCTGGGTAATGGGTAGGGACATCAGAGAGGCAGTGATCTGAGTGGAGAGACAGCCTTTCAGAGACGGACGATGGGATGTAAGCATAGTAAGCTGGTCCATTACCCAGGCAGGATCGTAGTGAAGGAAGGGAATGAAAGAGAAATGCAATGAATGACTGCGGACGGAGCCCCATGGATTTTACTGCAAATGGACGGGAATTTAGCGGCAACAGCGCTGGGACTTACTAGTACGAAGCCTACCCATCTAACACAATTGGTGAACGGAAGGGATGTAGAACGTTGTGGTAGATACAAATAGCAGGCACTCACTTATAAGGACGGTACTGGATGAATGGGAACGAAATAGATTGGACAATGGGCTAAGCAGAATGAAACTACTCCTACGCTAAATGTCAAAGGTTCTGGAAATGGGAAACTATAATCAGGTAAAGAGTAATTCACACGGCGTAATTCTGTTCTGAAATTGACATCCATGAGAACACGGTTTCTACTTTTAAACACCGGACGTTGTTACGAATCCCAAGACTAGCTCAGTTCAAAATTCTGTCAGATAAAAGGAGAATAAACATCCACGTTAAAGAAAGGCATTTTGTGACATACATATACACAAAAATCCGTTCAAGTCGAGGGATGCCGTCTCATGAGTAATTATTAGTTATTCATTTTATACCCAATGCATGTTTTGTTTGAGACGTCACAGCATCGAATCAAAATTATGGAAGTGTGGTTATACTTGCTTTAGGGTTTGCATAAAACTCGTAAATTATCGTAAACAAACTCACCTACAAACGGGACCAGCCCCTCCTGGCGATATTTGCTCAGCTTTTCTTTTCCAGTGCACCTCTTGACACCCACTTTTCTCGCATCAAACGTGCAGTTAAAAGCCTGGCTCCAGAATTCGTTGAACCAAACATTTCGGCAGTTTGCCTTTGATTTTCGTCGCTTGTTTTTACAATCCTCGGGCCTGAGCCAGGGTCTCAAAGATTTGAAGTACACGTCAAACCCTGTCGACAGAAACACATATACAGCGTCGAGAAGAGCACATGCATAGAGTAAACGAGGTTAATCGGTGAGTTAAGACAATTATTAATAATAGGTATTTCATAGCGATGAACGACGCCTCATTGATCATAGTTGTTATTATCTATGCAATATGCAATCAATCAAAATTATCATTTAATTACAGATTCATATTTAATGCAGGACTCATATTCACATTGATGACCTTCCAATTTTGATGGCTATGTGTTTGCATCGTGCATGCATGCCCGCATCAAATCTCATTTTGTTTCAGAACATTGCACATTCAGACGTTTCAGAGCAGTAACGGCCACTATTCACGTCAGGAAGTCACGCGGCGCCGGTTCGCTGCCCCCTGGTTACATCAGTTTCTATATCTGCCAGCCGTCGGCCCGTAGATGGTCACTTGGTGAAATGTCCTGCCCCGGCTGAGAGCTGGCCTGAGAGGAGAGTTTTCATAGGGCTACCCGACCGACCGCCCCAGCCGCTCATTTCATATACGACTGTCCGACCGCCCAGATGCTGAGAGCGCGGTGATACAGGCAGCTGATTACTGACAAGAGAGCGACGCACTGACCTGAGAGCAGACCTCCTCCAGGCTGTGACCTGACCTGTGAGCCGCACTGCAGGCTGTGACCTGACCCGAGAGCCGTCCTGCAGGCTGATAGCTGACCTGGGGATGCCGTCCAGGCTGTGACCTGAGAGCCGCCCAGGCTGATAGCTGACCTGCACCTGAGAGCCGCCCTGCAGGCTGATAGCTGACCCGAGGGCCGCCCTGCAGACTGATAGCTGACCTGGGGATGCCGTCCAGGCTGTGACCTGACCTGAGGGCGCCCTCCAGGCTGTGACCTGACCCGAGAGCCGCCCTGCAGACCGATATCTGACTTGGAAGCTGACCTGAGGGTGCCGTCCAGGATGTGACCTGAACTACGAGCCACCCAAGCTGGGACGTGATCTGAGAGCCGCCTTGCAGACTGATAGCTGACCTGAGAGCAGCGTACGCTGCGGCAGAATGGTGATGGCACCCTCGGCCACCCGTTCCAGGTTTCTGACCGGGTGCGCTTTGGCACCCCACGAGTCGCTGCCCACCCACAGGAACCGGCTGGACACGTTGGCCCGCACCGCCGCCGCCAGCAGCTTCCTGAAAACACAAACACACACAGTGCGCCTGTCAACTGACGGCGCTCGGCCTGTAACGAACATTGTTCTCGCCAGTCACAATGGTATAAACAGAACGGTGAATATCATTGGTGATGGCATCAGTGCATTTGAATCGTTTTCAAGATTGATGCGAGAGACATGCCTTCAACAAAACGTCAGTGAAGTGAAGTGAGGGCATATACATAGAGGTCTATGTTAGTACCTACTTACGTATAACAGTCACATAGATATAATATATCGAATATATCGATGAGGATCAATTATTTTGAGCGCGGCCCGGCGGCGTTTTCGTCAGCCGGAACTGTTGGAGACGTCAGAGCCTATTTTAAGGGAATTTGACTGGGGGGGCAACCTGGAAAATTGTCTTTAATAATCCATTAACCCTCGCCCGTATTGGTGTTTCCAGTAGCGAGCGTATAGGGGGGGGGGGGTCCGTTGGACCCTCCCCCTCGCCGTTTCGCCCCTGATCGAGCTAGAGCTTCGCGGAAAAAACGACCGTGTTGCCCGTGATGAAAGGAAGCCGATTATACCCAATTTTAAGGTCCTAGGTCATCGGTTGACCTTCCAGGTCAGGTCCTTGACCCAAAAGTCGGGAAAATCGGGACCTGTTAGAGCGTCGTAAAGAGTGGCTGCTATGGTTTTTCGGGGTGCTGATCATGAATATCATGTTAGTTATGATCATAGATGATGTCTTCATGCATTTAGGCCAGGTCAGGTCAGGTCAGGTCAACCAGTAAGGGTTTTGCCGGGTATTCGTAGTAGGTGGCAACCGCCTCTGACAGCTTCGTAACATGTTACGAAGGCACCAAAACTACTTCGTAAATGGTCAAATGGTTGCTTAATTCGAATTCAGCTCCAAAAACTAGCCTAGAAACATATAAAACTCGAAAATGTGAACCGAGGTCATCAAAGGTAAATGATCTGACCTGACCTTCCGGTGATCTTGACACCCACCCTAATGCATGGGAGCAACATCATATCCCATGTTTGAACGTTTGAAACCACGAAAAGACTGCAAACGCGCGGCTAATGCGAGGCGACATATACGCCGAATCGCGACCTCGGCCAAACATGGTGCCATGGTGCTAGGCCGCCGGTGCATCTGAAAGAACTGTGGTGCCCCTGACAAGCCTGAAGTTCCAACGACAGGCCCGTGGTGCCCCTGACAGGCCCATGATGCCTTTGCGAGGCCGGTGGTGCCCCTGGGCCCTGACAGGACTGTGGTGCTCCTGACAAGCCTGGAGTGTCCCCGACAGGCACGTGGTGCCACTAACAGGCCCAAGGTGTCCCAGTCCCTGCGAGGCCGGTGGTGTCCCTGCCAGGCATGTGGTGTCCATACTAGGCCTCTGGTGCCCCTGACAGGTCCGTGGCGCCCTTGCTAGGCCTATGGTGCCTCTGGCAGGCCTATGGTGCCCCTGGCGGGCCTGTGGTGGTACCCCTGACAGGCCCAAGGTGGTGCCCCTGCGAGGCCGGTGGGGCCCCTGGCAGGTCTGTGGTGCCCCTGGCAGACCTATGGTGCTCTTGCTAGGTTGATGGTGCTTCCAACAGGCCTGTGGTGCCCCTGACAGGCCGGTGGTGCCCCTGGCAGGCCTGTGGTGTCCCCGGGCCCCAAGAGGGTGGGGGGTCATGACCCATATGACCCACCCTTAGATACACCACTGGTCATTACTTACAGACTGACTCATTTGACATCCATTGCAAAACAAGTCACAGTAGTTACTAGTTACGTAGTATGTTTGTCACCCTGTTCCTTTATGCCCATTTTTATAGTGGGCAAATCTCGACGACTAGGGGGGCAATTCTGTTGAGTGCGGGGGCATTTGCCCCCCCAGTTAACATGTTAAAATAGGCCCTGGGAGACGTGTCGCCAGTGCAACGTCGCCCGTCCGGCTCGGATGTGTATTCAGTACAGCCTCACACTGCCGAGCTACGCCACGGTTCAAGGTCAGCCGCGGACGGGCGGACGGGAGGCCGCCGGCCGGGGGCGGGGCGGCACGCGACAAGTGGCGCCACCACCGCCGCCGCCGAGCGCTCGGCTCCCACTCGCTCCGGGTTGTGCCGGTATTCTGCGGGGAGTCCCAGCGAGCCGCAGTGAGGTCTGGGACGGCGCAGGGCGTGGCAGTGAGAGCTGACAGTGTGCGAGCGTCAGTGCACCGACAGACGCGGCGTGAACATGTGGTCGACACGCGAGGAACTGCTGAAGTGTCTGGTGGTGGCCTCCCTCACAATGGCCGCCGGGTCCGTCGCCAAGATAGCGCACGGCGTGGTGCTGCACTACCGCTGCCGGCGCAGCGGCCAGCCACTCTCGGACTGGATCACTAGAAATTCGGCGATTCTGCTGGCATGTTCGTCAATCTTTGCCATGGTGCTGATCACCATGATGGAGGTTGTGCCCTGGGACTGGCTGGGCACGCTGGCGCTGCTGGCGGTCACCGCGCCCGCCGTGCTGGACTTCCTCGGGCCGCCCGACGAGCATGTGGAGGCCTGCACACTGTGCCAGATCGGCAAGGGCAGTGCTTATAACCATTACTTTGGCTATCTCAGGCTGATGAAGGACAAAAATGGCTTCCGACAGCGTCTGCAGGATTTCCAACGCGACAACGGAGCTATCTTGCAGAAAGAAGCGGCGGAGTTGTATTCGGAGGCTGTGGTGGCTTTGGCCCCAACTAATGGGGAGTACCCCTCCAACCTGGCGGACATCGGCAGAGGTGTCGGCCAAAAGCTCCCGGTAGAGGTCAAGCCTTTCGAGTGTGTCGTGGGCTGCAACAAGCGCTCCTACCCGGGGCTCAGCGTCCATCTGATAGTGTCGAGCGACAAAACCAAGCGCCTGTACGTGGCATTGGACAAAATAGGAGCGCTGGCTACCCTTCAGAAACTTCGTCAACACACCAAAGCGGCCGGCCTCAGCGACGATGAATGCCAGAAGCAGGTGGCCGAGATGATTGACCAGCTGAAGACTATAGTGGCCAGCAATGGTGACCTTCGTGGCCAGCTCAGGGTGGTCAGGTACGACGCCGACGAGCATGTCGGCGACGCAATACTGCAGGCATTGGAGAAGTAGAACGGCGCCGGCCAGTGGATGGGACTTCTTACCGGAGCCGCCCGAGCCGCCGGACAACTGAGGGCTCGAGGAATGAATGGTGTAACGTGTGCAGTGGACGGGGACCACCTAGTGGGCGAGTGAGCCAGCTCTTGGTGCTTCTTACTTTGGATTGCGTTACCAGAGACCCCGGCCGCCTGTGTTTCGGGATGGGACCGATTCATGAGTGTATAGATGAGAAGTGTCTGGGCTATATGTGCATTAAGCGACCCCACGGCATGCAATGTGGGACGAAATCGGCCCCCGCTCGAGTGAGGTAAACATTAGACGTCGGCTGTGACGCGTGCTGATATCATGGATTACTTGTGGCCAATAGGTACTTGGCCCTTGATATATTCAAAGGTGGCTGCATGGAGCAGTGACTGCAACAGTTTTCTGTGACTGGGCCGATGGCCCAGATTGTGATAGATCAATTATCAATTGCAGAAATTAATAAAACTTAAACCAAACAGATAACAGCAGGGATTATGTAAGGGCAACGCAATAGCAATCGAGCCATCTGTGATTTTTTTTCCAAAAAAAAAAATCCGGAATAGCAAAATTGCGTCACGATTTATTATGTTCACGTTCGCTTGCTAAGGATATCAGGCATCTCGATTCGTCTAGCAAGGAACGAACCAGCACGTGCCAGAGATCCTTTTTTTGCCTTTTTTCCGCTAATATCTCGGCGCTCTCGTTTTCCAATGCTCTAAGCCTCCCCCCTCACCATGTTAATGAAGTCAGGTTTCCATCAAAAAGCGCTATGTTGCAGCGTCAGCACAACAGTATTGTACCCTTATGAAACGTATATCAACCGTACCAAAGCGACGTATCAAAACGATCAAAGCGATCAACGTATCAAAGCGACCGTCCATCCACGATTCTGCATACAACACACCTAATGAGTGGTCGCAAAACAATCGAAAGGAAAAGTCGCATTACCAGGAGCACTTTGCGGCCAGAGCGTATTACTCCAAAGCCAGCTGGTGGCGCCTAGTGTTTTGTTTGTCATATTGCTGGCTTTCCGTGTGATCTCCTGTGATGGACCGTTGGCTCGGCCCGTCCGGTCCCCTTCAGTTGTGTTATTACTGGCGGCTCAGGCGAGGAGCGGCCCGTGATCGGCCGTGTGACAGCTCCGCTGCCGCCGGCGCCGCTGGCCGGTCTATCAATGCGCGACCCGCCGCGGCTCTCTGCATATCCGAGCGGTCGGCGGCGGCGGCGGCGGCGCTATCTTCCCGCCGTCCCCGCTCCCCGGGGAGCGCCGGTGACGTCAGGGCGGCCCGGTCCAAGGGAATAATGATTCCCCGGTCGACGGGCCACAAACGCTCCTCGGCCGAGCAGCGCTCACAATAGGCATAATGTGGCGCACGGGGCGGCGAGGTGTGGCCGGCCGCTATCCATTAGTGATGCTGTGTGGTCAGTCCGGGGCCGCAGCCGAGACCGGGCCGGACGGAGGACCGTCCGCCGTCCACCGGCTTCACACCGGACGGGGGTCGGTGATAGTGGCAGGAAATTTAATATCTACGGAAACCCAGCCGAGCGGTAGCACACTTCTCATCTGAAACATCCGGTGATAAACACAGAATTATCCAACGAGGCTTTCATGCATTAAGGTAAGTATATATTTAGTTGCAGCATGTATGTAATGTTTTACCAATACTAGCGGAAGGCATGCAAAGTAGCCACTCGATTTCATTCCGTCCTTTTTCTTCGTGCTTTTGTGAGCAATCAAGACAAGATGGATCATCCCCCCCCCCCCCCCCCCCGAGGCCCGATGTCTATCTGTGTTATTTGGTTGGACCATCCCGTCGTTTGGACGTAAATGGCTGGGAAGGCAATTATTGCTCGAGGCAATTGGTGCTCGCTCGCATCCCGGCGTGGTAACTGATTAGCCTGCTAACTCTGTAAACACTGTGTGTGAACCGAAAGGGAAGATCACTCAGATGGTGGTGGTAGGTAGCGCGTAATTCAGCCAACTGCGTAATGTAAGATCTCCTCTGGGTTCTTAGGTAAATTTGTTTACGACTTTACCTGAGAGGAGGGTATGTCGTGAATCTGGTCGCGAGTATAATCCAATTCTTATCGGTCATTTGATGCGACAGCGACCAGAGCAATACAAGACCCACTAAAGAGCAAAATTGCTAATGTGATGAATGAGAATGACGATCAAATTTTATCATCCGTTTATATGATAAATCGGCTGCAACAGCTGCAGCCAAGGCGCTGCAGCAAGTATATGCTCACGCGAGTTTGTCTGCACAAATGCATGTGTTTGATGTTTGTCATAGTCATGTAGATAATCGAGGGAAAAAAGAATACCTTATAATCCGTTATCTGTTAATGCATTGAGCAAACATTTGTTTTGTAATGGCATTAACGCTGCTCAAAACAACAGTGAAATAACCATAATAGCCAGTATAGTGAATCAGCTCTCAGCGGTACTTACGTCGGTGCTCGTGTATTCATGACACCTGCTTCCTAATGTTCTCGGTTGTGTCTGATGACTCCTGAAAGAGCTGTGACATGGGTTTCATACACTCCCTATGCCCATATCTACATATGTACGTGACCTGTTAACAATGCTACGTGAGAGAGAAATAGAGCCGGAAGCTGATGCAACACACCACTGCTCTTGGTTCGCTAAGTTCGGTTCCACTGCATCTCCGGCCATGCCTCGGTTTTTCCTGAGCCGGGAAGACCGGGGTGTGAAAGGACCGCCAGACAGTTTTCCCGGCGATAGAGTGATGAGGTGTGTGCTTGTATGTACATACGTGCGTGCATAGGTGTGCGTGTAAGCACATGCGTGTCTCATTTTAGCCCGTATCTTACCGTGACATTAATGACCCCTTTTATTTACCTTCTGACTTAAGAACCGTAGTAGCCACAAATTGTATGTGGAATGACTGTTGTGGTCAAATCAAGCCGGCCATCGCCACGCCCGGTCTCTCCTGGAAGCTCACCTGATGTTGTCCTCGTCCACGAACATGATGACTCCTCGAGCGCCGGGTTTGGTGGCCAGCCGCGCCACAGTGCGGTCAAAGTCTTCCCGGCGAGCCTTCCTCTCGATCTTCTCCGCAATGGCCACACAGATGCCTTCCCGTGTGGCGAGATTGGCAAACGACAGTATACCCTGTGGACGATGGAATGGGGATTACTGATTAAACTGATGATAGGGCTTTATTACATGGTGTCCCTACTACCGAAAGTACGATTACGAACCTACGATAACGTAGTTATCAACGGTAGTTTGAGTTGCGTGCAAATGTGTTTTCTTTTTGTATATTTTGATGGTTATTCGTAGGTATATTTGATTGTTTCATTTGTACCTAAATGTTTTGTAAGTTGTTACGAGCGAGCGAGCGCAGCGAGCGAAGCGAAGTCTTTTCAATATAACGGAAAAATCTCAGTTATATGAGCGGCCCGGCCCGGCCCGGCCCGGCCTGTAACGCTTTTGAGAGGCGTATATCTCAGCAACCGCTTGACCGAATGGCCTGCGGTCTTTTTTACTGGGTAGCCCCCATCTCTTCTACCCCGTAATTGATTACTTTTTATACATCTCAGTGACCACCGTGGCACGTGCCACGTGAAAAGTCAAGGGTGTTCAAGCAGTTTTGCAAAAGTAATGATTTTGAGAGGCCCATATCTCAGCAGCGGCTTGAGCGATTGTCTTGCGGTCATTTTTATAGGGTAGCTGCATCTCTTCTGCCAAAGGTCGGATGCTCTTCATCTATGTGAGTGACCCCCAGTGCACGTGCAAAATACAACAATAAGAGGTGCCAAATTTGTTCCCATTTCAGTAACTCGGTAATTACTGGGGCAATTTCGCTGAAACTTAGCATACAGGTAGGCACCCACCAGGCAATGCATTCCCATGTGTTGCGGTTAGGGTGCTACTGCACGTGCGCACGTGCAGGGGGCGTTTCCAGATCTCGAGAACGGCTTGGCCGATTGCGCTCAAATTTGGTACACGGCTGGGGACCGGTTAGTAGGGTGCCGTGCAAAAGTCATTTTGGACCCCGTTTGCACGTGCGCACGTGCAGAATGCCGCTTCCAGATCTCAGGAACGGCTGGACCGATTGCGTTCAAATTTGGTACACCGCTAGCGACCGGTTAGAAGGGTGCTTTGCACAAGCCCGTTGGCAGTACCCTCTCGCCCTTCTGCACGTGCAGGGCTCACTATCTCGCTCGCTCGTTCTTCGCCCAAAAGGCGTTTTACTGGTGGTATCTCTGCAGCTAATGTGTGCAAAACTTTCTCATAATCTTTTTAGCAAAAGCAGCAGACTGTAAAGAATAAGTTGTTCCAAGTACCTAATTTTAACCCTCGCCCATGTAGGGGGGGGGGGTTGGTGCAACCCCCCCCCTGAGGTTTTTCGGAAATAGTGCAAAAACGGGTTCCAAGTACCTAATTTTAACCCTCGCCCATGTAGGGGGGGTTGGTGCAACCCCCCCCCCCTGAGGTTTTTCGGAAATAGTGCAAAAACGGCGGCGCGCAGCGCCGCCAAATTTTGGGTACCTTATGGGGCAAACCTTGCGCATCTTTTGATTAAAAAAAAATTTGACCGGGTCATGTCAGGTCACGGAGTTATGACGTCACAAAGGGAAGAGCCTCCGGCCGGATTTTCACAAACTGAGTGCCAACGCCCGAGGTTTCCTGCCGGTGGTACGGACATCGGTTGATGGATCGTGATGAAACTTCCCATGCATGTTGGGGCAAGTATTGGCTATTATATGGTATAAGAAACCTGACCGGGTCAGGTCAGGTCACGGAGCTATGACGTCACAAGAGGAACAGCGTCCGGTACTATTTTTGAAAAGCGCCCGAACCACTATTTTGCTAATTCTTGTCACCTCAATGGGAATATGCAGCAATATTAGCTTCTATAGGGAGCAAATGGACCTCCCAAATCCAAAAATACAATCAGATTTCAAAAATTTAAATTTTGATTTTTCGAATTTCTGCCGCCGACTGTGACCTTGCCGACTTCCGGCGCTCCCAACCCGCCATTTTTAGAGCTAGGGAAACGAAATACATACCAAACGATAGAGAATTGATCAAGGAACACGATAGTGAAGGTTTCAAGTCGATATCTCCGACCGTTTTGCCGCAATCGCCGCGGAAAGTTGAAAAAGTCTATTTTTTCCGAAAATTTGACCTTTGACCGGTCAAAAGTAGGTCAAATGTTGACCTAGGACCAAAAAATATACCACCAATCGCGAGATCTCGGCAAGAGCAATCCTTTGGTCTTTTCCGCTAAGCTCTACGACGCTCCGTTTTCAAACGCCAAGGGGGGTCGCACCAACCCCCCCCCCCTGCATGGGCGAAGGTGGCAGATCGCCGTTTACGGGCGAGGGTTAACAGAGGCGTTCAATTACGTAAAATACGTTACAGCGCCTCTGATGCTACTGTCCTGCCTGGCTGCACTGCCTCCTTTGATCGAGCTGTGGATCCCCTTAACCCTCTCCGAACTCGGCGACGAGATTTCTCCTGACATTAATTTTGCACCGTGACTCCACCATTCATTAAGCATGTGATGCCCCGCACACGAAACAAGATTGATGCCCGAGGCTAGAAATAAATTGTTGCATTGCCAAACGCCCAGAAAGTTCGTGGTTGCAGCTTGCATCACGTATGCAGTGTGATTTGGTATTTAAGGAGTTATTTAGGAGTTATTTAGGAGTAAATATGGAGGATGTATTGGCGAACTTCGGCATCAACGTGCCGCTTCTACCATTCCACCGGGGATTCAATCTCAACTTTTCACAAAAGCCGAGGTGGTCCGATCCTCATCTTTTCACCGTATAGTTAAGGACTGAGGGGTCCGATTCTCACCTTTTCACCGCAGTCTATGCGGTCCGATCCTCACCTTTTCGCCGTAGTCTCCCTGCACGGCCACAGTGCTGACGTATTTCCAGCCCAGTGCGCGGACCACGTGCACCATGGCCTGTGCCTGCAGGTAATCGGGCGGCACCACGCGCGAGAAGTACTCGAACCGAGTCTTGTCCGACAGCTCCGTACTTGTGGATGCGTAGCTGATCTGCGGGATCTGTCAGAGGGGCAGCACCCGCCGTGTTAGAGACGATCGGAGAGATTTATATATCAGATTAGTCAAGCTTGCTTCTCGTGGTTTGTTGAATTTTCGGACCGTACGCTAGTTGATGGACACTATTGTGGCCAGGGGCCATCGTCCGATGCCACATTGAGCAAGTAGATGTGCATTACACAGCTGCAAGCAGTGCCAAACACACTCACCATTTGAAATGTGATTTACTTTTTCGAGGCGCATATATCAGGCATTGTTTGGTAATCAACTATCCTACCTTACATGTATTCTAAATCATGCAATCCCATGGCAACTGAGCCTGGACCCGGAAGAGTCAGTGGTATGTTTGATTCCCGTTGAGCTGCAGCTGAAATATCGCCGGCATCACAATGCTCTGGTCAACGTCAAACTGTCCAACTGGCATCCGGTTTGAGTCGCGCTGGGTTAGGGGCGGCACTGGATACTTCTTCAGTGATTCAACGCTGAGCGATGTCCACAGCAAACAAGCTCAGTATGGTCCGGGTATTATGACTGCAATATGGGAGGAAGAGTTTGTTGATATAGGTGATTAGGTAGAAGGGATCAGATACGGCAATGGCAGCCCGACCTCGATTGTAAGGTTACCTTATATGTACAGTCCGCATAGTTGCAGCTTGATATTACAGCATTAGGAACTCTTACGATCAATGTCGTTAGTATTTCGTTACCTAATTCGTCATCCGTGCGACGAGCTTCGAACTACAATAAACGAATCGCCCATCGGGCCACCGCGCCATCGGGGCGGCGTTTGGGAGCAGCAGCCTCGCCTCGGAAGACGAACTGTCTGTCGGCTCCTGTTACGGTCTCTGGTGCCGTACCGTGTCCTGACATACCCCCAGGGTGGGCCAACAATCACTGTCCAGCAGTGAGCGGCGCCGGCAGCCGGCCGCCGTCCCAGACACTTCTCAGAAACTGTTAGCGCGATGAAAATAGAAATGAATCATTGCAATTTGAGGAATTAGTGTCATACAGTCAAGAAAGTTATTTGGTACAGTAGAGCCATGATTTTTCATTCGGCGGAGTTCCTGACGAAGTAAAGTTACGTCTGTGCTATGGTTTCGTGGTGCCCAGTCATTCTTTATTCCGCTAATGAAGTTTTTCTGTGTTGATTAAGTCCTCAATTAGGAACTGTCGTTTAATCAGATAACACGGTTAACCTCAGCAGGCGTTTCAGCATGTTGACCACTGACAATAAAGTTTCAAGGGGCTATGAAGAGAGTTAATAACCGTTCAAATATCATTAAATTTATGGGTTTATAAGGATGCAAGTCTTCTGTTTTGAAGAGCACTTTAATCTTTCATGCATTGATTCACTGTAAATACTTATTAATTTGCCTCGTCGCTCACAAAGATGCATATGATGAACGAGAGCTCACAAATATCAGTCATCCCTATGCCAGAAAACGTCCCGGACGCCATTTAAAAACCGTGGCCAACCGTATCTGCCTGTCGACGGTGCAGTATTTGCTTACAGATAAGGCATGCCGAGCCACATAAGCGAAGCTGCCATTGGAGGATAAGGACTCGCATGACTAAGCTACGACACCGTTTCTTGCCACAAGCAGCTGTCCTTGACGGGACCGACACGGGCGGCGCGGAAACCAAGTCAACTGAGCATATCGTCCGTCATCCGGTCAGCCGGCGACCGTCTGAAGACTTTGCCCCAGCACACTGGCTGGCAGGCTTCATGATAAGGATTCCTACGTTATTTGAGAACACAGGCCTGCCAGGGCAAAAACAAATAAATAAAAAATGAAAATAGGGCACCACCAAAATTAAGTGGCCGAAATCAGATGAGGTTTTAATTTTGGGTATAGGTAGGGGCACTACTTCGATTCATGACCCTCCCCTTGGAGTTTTCCTGGATCCGCTCCTGGTGCCAACGCGGCTGCGGAGGCCAGGGGGACGCGTCCATGAGATTTAATTTCTGGACAGGAGTCTCCCTGAGATTTTGGTCGATTTTTTTCTTGTCACGTTTTTTTTTTTTTACCAATTTGAGCATGCTTGCGAAAATAAAGTGGCCGAAATCCGAGGAGAAAAAAGATTTTGGGGGTAGGTGAGGTTTTGTGCCTCTGGGAGCCTGGCCCCCCACTTTCGAAAACGTTCCTACACCTATGCTGATTAGTGATCAGTGCGCTATCGTAATAAGCTTGACTTTCTTGCAATTCTTCCAAGCAACTTTGAGTGCTCTCTCTGGTGACAGCATTATGGTAAGGAAGGCGTCTCACCTTGAATAAGCGCAGAATTTTAGCGACGTTGATGCTGACGTCACTGAACGCGGCGCCAATCACGCCGGACACCGGGCTGGGGCGCGTCGCGTTCGTCTCGCACACGGAGGCGGCGCCGGATCCCTGAAACGAACGGAAACAACAGGCTTAGTCACTACATACCGTGATAATGATGAAAAGCTTGCAAGATAAACAAAAACAATCTACGTTTCGTGTGACATGTCCGTTTCGGCTAATTCAGATGACTGACGGATGTGCGTCGCACGTTGTAAAATTGGCTCTGAACATCCTCTCTTCACTGTACCCCTAGCACCCTTCAATTGTTTTTGGGACGTCGTCAACATAGGCGGCGGAACGGGGAGGGGGCGGGGGCACCGTGCCCCCCTTTGATTTTGGCATTTTAACATTAGCCCTATGGGCGTTTGATGCAGAAAGAATGGGACCAAAGGTCGGCAGTGCCTCCTCCCCTTTCATTGAAGGTGTTCCGCCGCCACTAGTCATCAATGGATGTCAATCGGGGCTCTTTAAAGCAGAAAGAGGTTGACAGTTTACCCACATTCACATTTAAGATGGGCTACAAATGTCTTACTGCCAGGACCATCCTTTAGATACTGGCGGACCGTTTTGCCCGACTAAATACTGCCTATACCTATGTTCATGGAATTTTTAGTAAGCGATTTTACGCCACATAAAAATGCTGTGCTCGTCGGCTAGTAACCATAAATAATCAACACCATTACTGAAATGGTCCGAGAGAAGTATTCGTGTCAGGGAAAGCCATAGAGAAGGGCTCCTGAAACTTAAACGTATAAACGTTACAAAGGAAACTGATGTAAATGAAAGCGTCATTAAACGTTGCTCGAAGTGTTAGATGTCCAATGTCTATGATAAAATACAAGCAACGGTACTACGAGGTGGTAAGTATGTAAGTATGTACATCAGCGTCAAGACGCCTCGTACCAATGACTGCTTCAAACAAATAGGTTTTAACAAAACTGACAGAGAGAGAAGGAGAGATAGAGAGAGAGAGAGAGAGAGAGAGAGAGAGAGAGAGAGAGAGAGAGGGAGAGAGAGGAGGAGAAGGAAAAGGAGGAGGAGGAGGAGGAGTAGGAGGAGGAGGAGGAGGAGGAGGAGGAGGAGGAGGAGGAGGAGGAGGAGGAGGAGGAGGAGGAGGAGGAGGAGGAGGACCGCCGACCGCCCTGGCGCCCTTGGCAGCGGAGCGGTCCGAGGCTGGCGGAAGACGACCGCTGCCCTGCCTGCTCCGAGCCCGATAGCGTCGAGCACCTACTAACGGAGTGTCCCGCATACTCCCGCACCCGAGGCCGGCTCTGGGGTTTTACGCCAACGCTCCGTGAAATCTTCCAGGAGCCGGCCAATAAAATCACGGAGTTTCTCCGAGGAGTGGAGCGCGCCGAACCCCCCGTCGACGTGCTCCCGCGGCGGGCCCCCTAGGAGGCCCGCCGCGTGGCGTGCAAGAAGAGAGAGAGAGCAGGAGGAGGAGGAGGATGAGGAGGAGGAAGAGAAGGAAGAGGAGGAGGAGGAAGAGGAGGAAGAGGAGGAGGACGGGGTAGGGGTATAACGGGATATGAGCGTACATAGAAATGAAACGAACGTCACTTTTTGTCAGGATGCTAGTTTAACAAAAACAAACCATGTACCGACGCAAATTACATGTTAAGCGCCGTTTAAATGCAAAAGAGCGAGCATAAAGCATGTTTGCATACATATGGGTGCTGAACTGCCCATTACCTTTTCTCGGTAGGGTGACTAATGATTTCCAATAATGAATGCAGCGCACAATGCGCAAGGCCACGGCCAAAGAGATATGCACTTAGCTGTCACTGTCAGCTTTAATTACTTGAGTGGAACAGCTACATCTACCTGCTTTTACAGCGTCCAATCGGCAAGGACGGCGACTGGACTTTGTAAGTAGTTATATATCCTGAGCTACTACTGTTTTCACAGGCAACGCTGTTTACATATCGCGAGCAACCACACACTCGCCCACGCTCGGAGAACAGAAAACCCGATCAGACTAGCGAAAAGGAATGACAGTATTTAGGAGCAGCACGATGGCACTTTATCATATTTCGTTATTATATAAGACGAGAAGCCAGGGTGCATCCTCAACAGGCACAGGCTGTTCCGTGGTTCAGACAAGCAATGAATAAGATTGGCGAACCATAGCCTGTACAATTACCTGAGTGACAAATAGTGTTTGTTAAGCGTCAGCATGCTTCATCAGGAGATGATGTAGGTTCAACGGCAACGCAGCACACATTAATGTAACAATCACTCAAAACCAATCCGCTGTGACGCTGCTACTTAGGTATCTCTTACTTAAAATTTATAAAAGCTCATTGATTCAGATGTTAGATGCTTTTCGTATGGAATTCTATACCTATTCGCGTCCGCACTCACATTTTATAATTTGATTGGCGGTAACAATAATTCAGCCAGCTAACACCATCTCTACTCTCTACAATCTACAAATGCAGTGATACACTTCACTTAACCCTATTCCTGGCGGGCTCCGCCGGGACAAGAAACTGGCGGGGGGGGGGCCGATTCGGCCCCCCCCTGAGATCTCGAGAACGAAGCAAGATAGCGACAAGCGGTAAACGGCATCGGATACGCACGGCCAAGATCTACAATTTTTACTGAGGTCATTTTCAGGTCAGGTCAAAGATGACGTCACAGGGGTCGAAAAAGTCAAAATGGCGGCACTAGATATGGAGAGAGTTTTTCTCGAATAACTTTCGAATTAGTCAAGATAGGAACAAACTAAGGGCATCATCGTGATCCTCTCGTCAATCCGCATCGAATGATATATATGTTGACCTCGAAAGGTCAAGGTCAAAGGTTGACCTCAGGTCACGTGACCTCGAGGTCATCATGTATATCATTCGATGCGTCTTGACGAGCTGAACACAATGAGACCATCCACGCGTCTGTATCTTGTTCCTGTACGGAGTTATTGGCCAAAAACCTTTGGTGACCTTTGATGACGTCACATGACCTCACAGCTGCCCAACAGCAAAACAGACCTCAAGGTAGTGAAGGTTGATCGTACATGAAGTCATGTATGGTATATGGGGCCATTCCGACCCGTTTTAGTGGTAAAAACAGGGAGTTGATTTTTCCCCCATTGACTTATAATGGGGAGGTCGCGAAATTGACCTGACCTTAGGTCACCGATATCAAAATTCCGAGATATACAAATTGCACATACTGGTACCCTAACTAAACCCTGAAGAGAAGAAATTGATCGGTCAAAAACTCTAGCTCTGGCGTGATTGCAAACTTTTCTGAGGTAGCGTCACCAAACCGCCTCTGGTGACCTGACCTGAGGTCAGATCAACTCAAAATTTTCAGACATGTTGCGTAGAAGCCTTTTAGGAAAAGTCAGAAAATTTGAGCTTCCTAGCTCAACGCGTTTGGGAGATATAACCAAAAAACCTCAGGGGGGGCTCCTGAGGCCCCCCCCCGCCAGGAATAGGGTTAACACATGTGGCCCTGATTCAATGTCAGTATCGTGAGCCTCCAGTTTGCTCCAGAGCATTTAAGTTTCAGACGAGCTCGTAAATGGCTGCAAAGCATCCTTAAGTGCTCCGCAGGTGCACCGGTGTATAGATCCTGACAGAACTGCTTTTTTCTTGTTGTTGTTGTGGACAATACTGCCTACGCATATAGTTTACATTGAAATCGCTCCATTCTATTTTTTGCCATATATTTTTCGCCTCCCGCTAGCTGTATATAATGAGTCTGGGGTCGTTTGGCTCAACGGTTCAGACTCCTCTGCCATTCAATGGGCTCATTTCTGAGTTTCTGTAAAGTTGGAGTGGAGGTGTCGAGTCTTGGAGGTGTCGAGGTGACACCTACCTTTATCGAGCAGATAAAAAAGCAAAGGATACTGAGTGACTGGCAGTACGTTAAATTGGACAGGTACCTACAGCTTATATTAACCCGCGCGGGGCTGGGGGGGGGTAAATTTTACCCCCCCTCGCGAATTTTTGCGATATCTTAAAAACGGCGGCGCGCAGCGCCGCCAAACTTTCAGTACCTTTTCTTACATCAATTTGACACGTTCCCTGAAAATTTGAGCGAAATCCGTCGGAAAATTTTTGAGAAATTGACGTTTTAGTGACGTCATGTTCGCCATTTTCGCCTCAAAAACGGCAAAAGTTCAAACGCCGCTAACATCTTCATTTTTAAAGGAATTAAGACGTAACAAAAAAGGTTATACGTAATTTTACTTTGTCTATCAAATGGCTATCTCGGTTTTTTGAAAATTTTGGATTTCGGCCTAAATTTTTTCAAAAAACTGACTTTTTTGGGAGAATCATCATAAAATCCAAAATTTTGAGTCTATCGAAAAAACCGGAATATATGTCAGAGAAGTGGTCTATGTGCACCTACATACCAAATTTTAGAAGAATCGGTTCAAAAATGTGGAAGTTATTCAAAATTTTATGACGTCACGACACACAAATTTTTTGAAAAACGACTTTTTTGGAAGTTCTAGACCTCGTACGGAAACAAAAATAGCACCATTCGATTCGCCGTGAAAAACTGCATCAGATAGACACCTTTTTAGGCCTTAACAACCAACTTCGAAATTTGACCTCACTTGACCTGACCTTGACCTGACCTCGACCTTAAATTCATCCAGAGGTGGTCCATATCACTTATTGAGTGTGCCTATTGAATTCTATGAGTAAAATGACCCATAAAACATGTGTCGCACATGCCCTTTTCTATATTTTGTTTTTTGGTGACCTGACCTGACCTGACCTGACCTTGACCTTGACCTCTGAATGATATTGTATGCAACGAATATTGTCTTGGTAGCCTAAGAACACGTTTTGGGCGATCAGTCTCAGTCCATGACTCCATTCTTCGGCAACTACGGTGCAAGGCCGATACTGTAGAAACTTGCAATTTGTACCCTTGACCTGACCTTGACTTTGACCTCAAACGTTAAATTAAGTACATGTTTTTAGTAGTTCGTGATGAGAGCTTTCGATTGGCGTTTGAATTTTCCAAATCGGACCATTAGTTCGGGAGATAACAGGGGGGGTAAAATTTACCCCCCCCCAGCCCCGCGCGTTCGGCTGGAGACC